TTTGTGAGTATACAAACATAGTATGAATGAACGAACAAGAGACAGTCCCTATCCTAAACAGCTTCCAGTCTTTTACAATTTTCTCCAACATCAAAAGTGTTATAATTTACTAAAACCTTTGAAATGTTTTTTCTTCTGATTTCAGATGATGATTTGAAACTATTTCAAAAAAAAAAAGAGTGTAAAAAATATTAACGTCACCTTGTACTTTTGCAGTATTGCTTTTATTCTAATAAACCATTACATTACATTTTATTGCATTCGTTAGCCACAGCTTTTCACTGTTGGCCAAACTGTAGCTGCTGATACCTTAATTGGCACTAAAATAGCATTACTTGTTTCCCTTGCAAGATCCTAAACCACAATTAAATTCCTCTGCATTGACTACTTGGTACACCATGGAAAATCCATCCAGTTATCAGAGAGAGGAAAAGAGTTCAAGCTGGAGGAAAACTCAGGAGTGGCACATGTCCTGTTTCATCTGAGCAAAAGAACAAAATTCCTGTGCACAACATCCAGAAAGCCTACTGTGGGACTTGGTCCTTGAGCAGAAGAGCCAGCTGCCATACTTGAGTCATGATGAGCACATTATAGAGGAGATTTCTAAAGCTCAGTGGATATTCTTTGACTATCTTTTTCTCAGTCTGCTTTATCTCTTTTTTTTTTTTTTTTTTTTTTTTTTTTGTAATGTGCTGTTCAAATAATTTGTTCTAATAATATCTAGGGACTTGATTTTTTAAATTCTCTAGTATTATCAGCTTATTCTCAGATACTCAAAGCCAAACTTCAGTTTGACATGCTGTAGAACTTTGTATACCTTAGACTTGCAGACACATAAGTAAATAGTCTTCCATTTTTCATTGTCTTACATAACACTTTCCCTGAATGTTTCCATCTGCCACTGTCTGAAGGAACTGAAAGAATGCAGATAAACTTGAGGAGGCTCATCTTTTCAGTCATGGAGTTTTGAACAGTTCCTGAGGAGGGTGTTCTTATTAAGGCTGAAAGAAATGCTTATGAAATTGTGACCATGTCTAGAAAATGTATATGGACATTCTGTCTGGAAGCCACTTTACTCAGTCTGAGAGAGCACGAAGTCCAGACTAAAGACAATTGGTTCTAGATAATTGGATTATGTGATAAATTAAGCCATTTGTGGAGCAGAGGTGGGTTTTAGGAGAGAGATAGAGGTGACAGGCCATTATGGAACAGAAGGAGAAGAATCATCAGTTCTTGTGGAATTAGGACAAGCTGTAGCTGCAGTTGTGGCTATAGTTAGTGTAATCCAAAAGCTGATATTCCTATCAACATTGCTTAAGTATGTTTTCAACACCTTACTAAAATTGCTTGTGTAGTATATATTCCCTGCATTTGTTATAATTGTGATGCTTTGACATAACAAACCTCTTCAGTCAGTGGGAAAAACTATTGGAACCAAGTTCATATCTATTGAAATTTTATCAGGTCTACCTACTAGTCAGAAATGTAGCAGATCAATCAAAAAAAATTTTTTTTTCATAAAACAGTGAATTTTGTTGATTAGTAAAGATCAGTCTGATGAGCTAACTCATGTTAAGAAGCACCTTCCTCCATACTGTTAATTTTTGTAAAAGAATCTAATTCTTCTCAGTTGTTGTAAACATCTAGTCCAAATTCATTGTCTACATTTCCTTTGTAGTTAATAGAAGGGGAAAGAGAGAGATGGAGACCTTCAGGGTGCATTTCCATCCCGGCTGGTTTAGGATGAGGTAAATTGCTTTCTGAAGATGCTAGCGTCTCTTGGTTTATCAGAGGGAGCATAGGTCTAAGTATGCACTATTTTCTTTCCAGAGAGCTAAAGCTGTGGGAGGTGAATCCCACTGAACGTTTCATTTGTTAAGATCATTGTGTGGGCTGTGACCTAAACATTATGATTGTGGCAGGTTTATATTTCTTGTACAACTCTTATTTATATTTTAGCATAGTTGTTATAATCAGGTAGCCTTGCTGACTATATAAATAACCAGTTCTTGAATCCCACTAAGTTCTTGGCTCCTGTGCATGCCACACACATGTGAATTCAATAAACTAACTATACCGTTTATAAAACAAGTATTTACTTTCTTCTGTTTGCTTGTGAAACTGCTCAGATTAATTAGATGTCACTTTATTCTTGCATGAGAAACAGAGCCCATTTTACTACTCTTTCTTTCAAGTCAAATCATTCAAATCTTTTTAGGGTTTCTTTCTCTGATAACTTCTGTAACAGTCCTCCTCTTGTCTGCCAAAGCCTTACTGTGCTGGGATTATGCTAAGAAACAGTGTTACAAGCTTGAAGAGTACAACAGATCTGTATAATCGCTTTGGAATATTTTTCCTGTTATTTTCCATACCTTCTTATGTATGCAAACAAGGTGTTTGCAGTTTTGATCACTGATACCCACTGAGCCAATGTTTTCATTGAGCTTACCGTGCTGAATCGCAGGTCTGGCTTTTGTTTTGTTTTTCCTGAGCTGATAAGAGTTCACTCTAACCCTAGCAATGAGTTGTTCAAATTAATCCCTTTTGTGTGCATTGCTTTGTATTTGTCAACATCTAATTTCATCTGTTCCTGATGTTGAATCACTAGTAGCTCCCACACATGAATCAGTAGATACTAAAGAGATATTAAAATACAGGGCAAAGAATGACAAAAGCTGCTAGAACACTGCCAGTTTAACTCCTCAAGAGAACTGGGTAAAGTCTCATGTTTGATTTGTTTTCTGTGTTGGAGGAAACTCATCACAGTTCTGATTTCCTTTCAGTCGGGTATTTGTCTTGACATACACGTGGGATAACTACCTCCATTCTGCCTTTTGTCAGTTTTACACTGTTCACTTCAGACCTCCTGCCCTGAGCTACCAAGGATAAGCAAACTTTTGGATTTGATTCAAAGTATCAATTATCTTGAACCCTGTTCTGCCTTCTGCACCATTTTTTTCAAGTGGCTTCAAACCGATTGAAGATGCTTGGCTACACAACATGCTGTAGTTTTGCTCTAGATTTAGTGATTCTTGGATCCTTGAAGAGTGCATTGGGCCACTTTGCTGAGAGCATAAGATTAGAGTAGCTTTATTAGCAAACAGTGTGGTTCAGGTTAACAGAGGGCTGACAAATTTTATGGAACAATGTATCTATGTTTACAGTGAAATTCACCTATTATAACACAATACTCCCATGAAAATCCAAATTAGATCATAAGATGAAACATTGATGTTTTGTTTATAGCATCTTTCACCATTCATATCTGCCTTCAGTTCTGATATTTTATTCCCACAGACGTTATTTTTCCCACATCCCATATGTCCAAATCATGTATAAAGATATTTAGCTCAAATACCATGCATGCGAAACGTTCCACACTGTGGGTATGAGGTGACGTTTGGTGTGTCTTTAACATGCTGTGGTGTTCAATTACAATACAGCAAATTTATTTTTATTCAGCCTTCTTTATAGAAAGTATGGAAAATTGCTTTGCAGTGAGTCATCTGTCAGCTAAAGAACTAAAAGTCTTATAGTGATATTTAAAGAGAGAAAGTGGCTCAGAGCTGACAGAGTTCAAGACAGAAAAAGAAACCAAAATGAAAGAGAGGGCCTCCAACCATGGAAAACATAGAGGCAAAGACTGGTAGGGGGAGGAGTGATGAGAAAGCCAAACAAGCTGAGAATGTCAGAGGCAGTTCAGGAGACTCTGCAGATCATTTGGAAACACACATTGGGCTTCAGGTGTCTCTCCTGCATTACACCAGCATTTGCCAAGCAAAGATTCTTTGACCTTAAGGAAATGGTGTAAAACCAGGTGAATAAGAGGATGGCGTAAAACCAGATAAATAAGAGCACTGGGCTTAATACACTGTGGGGAATTTAGAAACATGCGGGTAGAGGTTGAGGGGAAGGATAAATGGCTTAACTTTCTGGAGCAAGACATTAGAAGAACACTGGCATTCTGCACTCCATGATGTTTAAACGTGAGGATTTTCTTAGACTGTAAAAGAGGGAATTTCATTTAATTAGACAGGATTTATTATAGGCTTGAATATGGACTTAAGCAGAAGTGCAGTCAAAGGGAAGATGGATTCTGGCAGTCTTCCCTTGCTAGTGTCAGGAGGGCTTACACTCAGAACTGTGGGAGAGGCAGTCAGTTCAGGGTCAGAGATGACTTTAGAACTCTGGCTTTGTGTATGGAGATAAAATCTAAGTAAAGAAGCATGAAAGCGGTCTTGGAGAGCAAGGGGGACTTCTTTCCCTTGACATTTGTGCCTTTTGAAGAATTAACTAGTAAGGAAATTATAACGTAGCAAGGGAATGACAGAAACAACACAGGCTGTTAAAGAGATCAGAGATTACTATCCAAGGTCACTGATGCCTTGTGTGCTTTCCCTGTAAAGTTAATGTCCAAAGCTGAGCTTGCAGCTCCCTAAAAGAGGAGGTATGGTTAAGGAGGAGAAAGTGGAAGAATCAGAAACAGATGCCTGGTGTTTTTAAGGCACAGCACTATCGTGCAGGGGTATCATCAATATAAGCACTGTCATCTTTTATTGTGAATTACATGCATTCTTCTTGTGTTCTTGGTCAAGTCTACCAAGTGGTGGTGTGGGGCTCTTGGGGGAGCTCTCTCATCCCATGTCCACCAGCCTGCCCATACTGCTTTTTGACCTGGCATTTCTTTTGATCTCACTCTCTGTATAGAACCATATTATCTGCCTTAAGAAAGTAAATATGATGTAAAGTACTTAGCACAAAGCAGACTACAGTCTTTATTGAAAGCAGAAGGGAAAAGAATCTTGTCTTCTTACTCAATGCATTCAGAAAAGTTGGGTTTGACACTGTAATACTGAAAGGTATTCTAAGCATAAAAGTAAGGTTAGAGCCACTCAGACATCCTAGAATTTGAAGGGAGTAATATTTAATTGTATGCAGTTCCAAAATGCTTTTTACAGATCTTCTTATTTATAACTATCATGTCTCTTTTGAATCTGCAGAGGAGGAATATCAAGGACAAACCAAGAGAAAACGCATTCGAAGGAAGAAACAAAAGAGCAGATTGCAAAACCCTAATAATTTACATGGAGAACAAACAGAATCTGGAATACAAGAGGCTCTCATTCAAGATAATTTACAGCTGCAGCAGACAGACAGTCCCAAAATAAGCAAAAACAAGAAGAGGAAAATGAAAAAGAAGAGACAGAAAGAAAAAATGAGAGCAGCTGGTTTGGTAACAAAAACTACCGGTGTGGATTTTACATATCAGCCTGACAAAAACAACAGAGAAGAAGCAGAAGGCTTAAAAAACATAGATGAAAAGGCAGATAGCATTCTGGACTTCCTGCAGGCAACACAACAAATTTATTTTTCTGATAGTATGTACCACTCTTTCTCCTTTTGTTTCATGAGTATTACCACATAGGGGAAAATAGATGTACCTTATTATCGTTGTAGAACGGTCCAGATCTACTAGAGAAGTCTCTCTTTTGAACACAGTAAGATGTATGAGTACTTAGTATTTGTCCCATTTTCTGGTGTGTACACGAATATGTAAGAATCCACGTCAATATAAAAAACTGTGGTCCTAATCTCTTTGTTTCGCTGTCTTTGAAAATATACATAATATTCCTTGCTCTTTTTTAAAACATTCTAATGCATTTGGGGTAAATGTAGTGGTTAAAATGGACTGGATTTTTTCCTCTGGAAGCACACATCCAGGAGGATTACTTCTTTTCAGAGAGCTTCAGATGAGGGCAATGATTGCTATCCTAAACTACTTTCATGCTTATTCTCTCTGAACCAACCTACTTTTAAGAAAGTTCGCCTTCACAGGAGGAGATTTATTTGTAATATATAAGGAAATCTAGACAGACAGCATCCAAGAGGAAAGTGGAAGATACTGTTGGCACTGGGAGAGTGTTTTGGCATAAAGCACTTGTGAACAAGATGAATGTGAACTGATGTTCAATGCACATTCCATAGCACTTTTTAAAGTATTGCATGGATGTTGTCCCCAATGGCCTATTGAATGTTCATCTGGCCACTAAAATCAGAGAAATTCCTACTGTATGTTTCTTCCATTGCTTTTCTAAAATGCTGTTTGTATGGTGCTTATGTCATAAGTGCCTTTCAGAGATAAGTTATAATGGTAAGTACTATAGTATTTATCTGTACATACACCAGATTATGTTGGTATCATCTAGAATTAGATATGTTTTCTTAAGGGCAAGATGGTGTGTTCTTTTGTTGCTCAGCTCAGAACATAGCTTTAAAATTATAACTGTCTTGTAGAACTGGAAAAAAAAAGTGAAAAATTTTTCAAAGTGTATGCCCTTGACTGTCTTTGTGGAGCTGAATGAGGGATATTAAACAGCTTACCTACCTGTATGAGTTCAGAGGTGTCAGCTCTTAGTCCCATAAAATTCATCTTTAGGCTACAGAATTACTTTTAAAACCCTGTTAAGATGACATCAAGGATTTAATGTTAATTTTTTTCTCAAGATTTATACATAGAATTTCCTTTACTGTTAAAATTTTTCTGCTGTTTCATGTCTTCATACTAAGCCTAGCACTGGAAATCTGTCCTACTTTCTGGCTAATGTATTTCCATCGCCAAAAATAAGAATTTTACTACTTCAGTGTATGGCTATGTAAATGTAAGCTAGAATACATACATTTGCTGTAGTGGAACTCCAGAGTAACTGCGCAAGACTGCAAATTCAGTTAAAAGTTCTGCTGTTAATACATGATCCAGAACAGAAACCTGGTCGGTAGTCCACAGCTGTGTTGCATGTTGAATTTTAAGAAAAAGTGTTAAGGTTCCATCTTTCCTGGAAATCAAGTTCAGGCTTTAGCAGTGGTTGACTGACGGGGCCTGGTGTCAAACCTGCAGGTTGGAGGATTGAGGCAGTGAGGACCTTGGAATCCACAGACAGAAATTCTCAGGTAAAAGAAAGTTCACCTGCAGATAAGATGTCACATCCATAAATCAGACTGTGACTAACTTTCTTGTTAGGCAAATCCCAGTTAATACATAGATCTGACATTATTCTGTTCGCCTTTTCTAGTTGAGTGACTCTAACACTCCCTATTTTTTAGATAAAATTGGAAGCCATTGCTTTTAGAAGCATTTTCAAATGGTCACATTGGATTATACTACCTGTACTTATGTTAGAAAGCTGAATCGGGAAAATTCTGTTCTTCTCAGTTGTCTTGCTGGTGAAAATCAAAAGAATTAAAGGGAGTCTAGTTAAAGAGATAGACTATACATTGTTACTGGAATGGAAGAACTAGTTTATGCTTTAGTAATGCAGAAACAATGTATGTCCTTCTCTGCTGTCTTGCATGCCATAATATCTGCTTATTAAATAAAAACTTAAAAGTACAAATACCAAGATAACTGGATGCTTCCAGAAGTGCTCTGAAGTAGTTCCATGGAGTTGTTCCCTGTCTCCACATGTGTGTGCTTTTTAGTAGTACATGGTGTGTAGGAAGCAAGAACACAGTGCTTTGGACACACTACAGTTTCTTCATCACACCCTCTTCCTGGGGTAATCTTGAAAGTTTAGATTCCTCTGGCGTTCCTGTCACTATGAATCCCATTGTCCTTTCTACTTTTTGAATATGATACTTCAACCTCTTACCATTGTTATAATATTTAACAAAAAATGGGAGGAGCAAGCTGCTCTTTAGTACCTGATAATTGGTTGTAAGTTGTACTAAAAAGGAAGGTGCTGTCTTTGAAAAGTATAATTTGAAGAGTATAATTAAGAAAGTTGTCTGTGCTCATTGAGTATTTTTAATCTGGTTTTCCAATTGTTTTTCCAGATAAGTCAGAATGCACGGATTCTGCAATAAATTCAGCAACTGCCCAAGAGCTTTTACACTGTCTTGAATCTCGAACCATCTCCTCCTCAGATGTGACTTTTCTACATCAGTTGAAATCCCTTGTATTGCTACAGGATATTGAGAGATTGAAGGATGCTTTGAAACAGTTCCAAGAACAATCCATGATGCCTCCTGGTACGTACCATTCATTTATGTTCATTCACTGATGTTCTTTTTTGTGTGGATTAAAATTCAGATTTGTCACAGGTTTTTTTAATTAGGAAGCTGTAAATAATTATGTAGTAGCATATACATGCTTATACAAGATTTGAAAGCATAATTCCAACCAAAAATACAATTATTTTCTCTGTTTCTTGTTTGGTTACAATCGATACAGAAGCTTTTCATACTTTGCAGCAACTACAGAGAACAAGATGATTCAGGTTCTTAAAACAATATGTTTAAAATCTTAACTGTCTTAAGATTTAATCATGTTTAAAGCATATTTTTAATACATTCTCTTTGTAGATTTTTTTAAATCACAGAAACGAACTTGTTTATCTTGGAGATTTTAATTCAGTTAAGGATTAATTTTACATGTATAAGAATCTATGAAGCCCATTATTTCATCTCTTCTTGGTCACCTATGTGACTTCTTTAGCGCATAGATTTTGCATGACAGAGTTTGATTTACAGCGTTGTTTTTGTTTAAATGTAAATGTCTGGTTTAAGTTTTTAACAAATACTGTTAATTATGTAAAAACATAAAGTCACTCTTTATAATAAATTATATTTTAAGGTCATTCATAAAAAGAAAAATTAATCTGCTACTAAATCTTTTCATCCCTGAGACACAAGTCTGATTTCATTCATGGTCCTTTTGTTCTCTATTACAACCCCTTTGATTTTAGTAGAATTTCTTCTTGGACAGTTAATAGTTCCTCCAGTGAGTGTGGGATCAGCATGTAGTCCATAGAAGGTATAATAGTATGTTTTCCGAGTAGTCTTCATTTAAACAGTCATTGTTACTTGTCATTAGTATTTTTGTTTCAGCATCAAGATGTGCTGAATTTTCTTGCCCGCAAAGAATTTAAACAGAGTTGAGAACACTTGCTATGGCATGAGAGATTCTCAACCATTTTAGATTGTGCCCTAAAGTCTTTTGAAGAGTAACAACTGAGCTGGTAGTAGTGTGGTTACACAGTAAGTAAGATCATAGCCATCAGAGGCTTAGCAATAACACTCAAAGAAGAGACCATTGCTTGTAAGATCATTAAATGATTTACAGTATGGTAGTGGCTAAAGATCCCAGTCAAGACAGGAGCCTACTGCATGCTGTGCACTGTAAAAACACAGAAAATAGAGACTTCAAGTGGATTCAGAGGAGGCCATGAAGATGATCAGGGGGCTGGAGCACCTCCCTTACGGGGGCAGTCTGAGAGAGTTGGGGTTGTTCAGCCTAGAGAAGAGAAGGCTCTGGGGAGACCTTAGAGAGGCCTTCCAGTACTGAAAGGGGGCTACAGGAAAGGTGGGGAGGGACTCTTTGTCAGGGAGTGTAGTGATAGGATGAGGGCTAACAGTTTTCAACTGAAAGAGGGTAGATTAGATATTAGGAAGTAATTCTTTACTGTGAGGGTGGTGAGACCCTGGAACAGGTCGCCTAGAGAAGCTGTGGCTGCCCACTCCGTGGAAGGGTTCAAGGCCAGGTTGGACGGGGCTTTGAGCAACCTGGTCTGGTGGAAGGTGTCCCTGCTCATGGCAGGGGGCGTGGAACTAGGTGATCTTTAAGGTCCCTTCCAACCCAAACCATTCTATGAATGTAGAGTACATAGCCAATACATTTTAAAAAGGACACTCTTACAGAAGTTCATAGGTATTCTTTAAAGTGTAGATACGGAATATGACAACCCTTAAAGTTCTGATAGATCTGAAGTATCCACATGTACATGAAACCAAATCCTTCTGTGCATTCAATAATTAATTTCAAGCCTGAATTCTATGATCTTAATTATAATCAGATAGTCTCATTGGATGTAATACACATTTACAAACTAAGTAGGACTCAGCAGGAATAGTGGTAATGGTATTGGCCCTTTATTAAATGACCTAATTCCGTTTCTGTTGATTAAATCACAATGGAACTGTTGAAGTGGCCACATTCAGGATATTCCTTCCAGGCCTTATCCAAATTCTATTCAACCCACTAGGAATTCTGTTGGGTTTTGCAGACTTGGGGGAAGCTGTTCTGTTTATTTTTACATAACAGGAATGTCAAACTGAAGAGAGAAAAGAAAACAGAAGCAAATTAGAAACAAATCCATGCAACTACTCTAATTTTCTGATGTACGTATTTGTCACTTAAAAAAGCAGAAGAAAATTTTGTGAGTGATTTTTAAAATTTATTTATGTTTCTGCTGATACAGAGTGAAATTGTTTACTCTTCCAGCCTTTTTTTTTTTTTTCTAGTAACTGTTGTTCATTCCCTCAATTCTAATCTCATTCCAAGTTCATGGTGGTATAACCATAATAGTTGATTTGATATTCATGAAGTACAACAACATAAGAAAGAGGAAAATACATAGTTATAAAATATTAAAGAATAATTAAACACCTGCTAGATACTAATTTGTCTCAGCAGAGTTTAACAATGCATTCTATTTGTAATTCAGGAATCTCAGTGAAAGAATATAGTGCTCTGAAATTTTACCTTGAATTAAGGTTTTAATTATGCTTTTTTTCCTACTTCTAGCTCAAAAATAGGTCTTCTTGCCCCATTTTCTTAAATTTTAGATTTCATTCCCAGTGAACAGATGGTAAAAGTTAAGAGTTAATACCAAAACTTGATGTCTCAGCAAATTCAAGTTCTTGTTATAGAAATACAGCTTAGAGTAGTTTATTAGGTTAAAAATGTATAGTACATCATAGTAATCTCAACATGACTACTTAAAGTGTCATTGTTTTCAGACTGTAAAAAATAACAAAATGTCCTATTACTATTTCCATTTATTTGGTAGTCTTTAACAAAAAGTACTTACCTCTACCTGAAGTCTTCCTTAAGTTCAGGGAAGAGAGTGTTTAGCAGTCAAATAGACACACATTTTGCGTGAGAGGAGCTTGACTGATTTCTGTCCGAAAGACAGTGGCCATTTGCTCAAGAAAGCCAGACACCTTCATGATCCTGCACAGTGCAGTGGGCAAAGGAGAAAAGCTGTGAATGGAAGTAATGCTCCATTTGCTGGTTGGAAACCGTAGCTTTTTAAATGAGAGCTACTTAATTCCCACTTCACATCAATTATTAAAGCATAGGTGATCACCTAATTAAAAAAAAAAAAAAAAGTCATTATCCCCTAATTTATGAACTCATTCAGCTTCTACTCATCAACTTCATTCCATTATCTATTAATATTTTCCATTTGTTGGTTAGTATCAAGTCTCAAATATGCTCTTCCCTTGTTGCCTAGGAAATTATCACTCACAGAAGAGCTAGAAGCTTCTTTTAGCTGCCTTTTTTTGGAGAGTTGTCCTTTATATATGTCTCTATTGTGGGGGGCTACATTTTGCAGACCAGAAGTAATACAGTTACTGTGTGCCAGCAATGCACAAGCTAGATACACAGAGGCCTGAAAATGATTAAATTTGACTTTTTTTTTTGAGTGAACATTCAAAGAAAAGGAAATGAAATGTGAAAGGTATATTAGCATAACATAGAATCATCTTAAACGTGATGTTATGTGATAAGTACCGTAGAAAGACCTGTCATTAAAAATAAATAGTCACATAGATAATCTCTGAATTAAGACAGAAGTCATGGCATTTTGAGACTTTAATGCAGCTGTCTGTGCAAGACGACTCATTCTCAAATGGGACTTCTAGGTGCTTCTGTAAGTTAAATAATAATGTGTGAAATTACTCTCCATTCAGAAAGAAGTAGAGAAGTTTGCACTCTCTTATCCTTACCCCTATGATCATGTCAGTTCCATCTCCTTTTTTTCAGAATTTCTGAATTGTAAAAAATAGGACATTCCAAAATATAGGACCAAAACTGTTTCTCATACAAATAACTGACCTCCTAAAAGAAAATGAACCTGTTTATCTAGAAATGCATATGTATTAGTGTTCAAGGCCTATTGGTTTTACTGAAATGCTAATGTTGAATGGAAGCAGATGTTTGCACAATGTTTAATGTTCAGAAATGTCATAGAGGTATTTCAGGAGAAATGTGTTTTCTTTGTTTCAGATCATACCAAGGTAGTCACGTCTCTGTTTCACTACTGGATCACAGATATCCTTCCTGTGAAGAACAGGAAATAAAGCCTTGCCTGTGTCCATATGCACAGGGTTGAAATTTAATATACAAACTCCTAACCAAGTAGTAATTGCTCAGGGAGAGCAGTGTCAATACACATTCTACACCTTCAGGTAAATGTATTATTTTTCTGTGTTGCAAACTCCAGAAGACAATAAAACAGGGTATAACTACACGTGATTTTTGTGTTTGGTTGATCAAGAATATACATATGCTGTGTGTCCTGAGTCTTCAGCTTCATTAGTGTGTACAGTTCACTTTATGATAAGGAAATTATCTGGAATGATAAAGTATGTATCAAGTATTTTGTTTAGGGGTTTTTTGTTTTTTGGGGTTTTTTTATAAATTGATTTTTCCTTTCTGGAAATTTTATTTCTTGACTTTTCCTGTTTATCTGATATATATATTTACCTGAAAAACAGAAATATATTTTTATATTTAAATCTAAGCAACAATATGTAAGAGGAATGTATTTTTGTTCAATAAACTTCTAAATTATGGAAACAGATAAATTTCAACATGTGGGTCACGTAGGTACTGTTTGTAGTCATGCAGAAACTTGGATGACATTTTCAGAACTGTTCCACAGCCCAACCAGCTACAGTCCAATGAGCTTCACTGACTGCAAAATTACGGGAGTGGGTTCCCTTGCTAATTACTCTGTAGTCTTTCTGCAACTGAATTTATCCATTTGTAGATGATACAGTAAATAGTATTAATGGTTGTAAAATGTTTTGGAATCCTGAAGAAAAAAATGCTTTGTGAGTGAGAGGCTCTTCTGTCAGCTGAGTCATTTGCCTGATAGGTGATACAGAGCAAACCATTTCTCTATCTTAGTGTGTTAGCTTTCTCATAGGCAGGATAGGGGCAACATACTTATCTCCTCCAACACGTGCTTGGAGATATATTACTGACTAGACTCTATAAATGTTTTGTGGGTTTTTTGCTTTTGTTTTTTTTTTGTTTTTTTTTTTTTTGCTATATTGCCCGATATATCCTATTGCAAGGCATTGTTTTAGTAATGCTCAAAAATGTGTAATAAAAATGCAATCATACGTCTTTCTCATTAATTGAAGAAGTTAAAAAAGGGTTCCATATCATGCCAAAGGATTGCAGGTGCAGAAAAAAATGGTTTTATGGCTAAGGCAGCTGTGTGCAGCTCTAGAGAATCTAAGTTAGGTCTGTTTCTGCTAGGAGAGATATTTAAACCAGACTTTGCAAAGGGGAAACAAATAGTGTGTTCCCTGTTTTAATGCTCCTGACATAGACACTGAACTGTAGCTGTGGCTTTTCACTGAGATGCTGTGTGCCTCAGTCCCACATCTGAAGAATGAAGAAAATATCACTTGAATGTGAAGCACCTAGATACTCTATTGACAGACCCCGCAGGAAATGAATCACTTCATCCTCACATTAAGGTTTGAGTGTCGTATAGTTATGAGGCCTAGGAACCACACAAAAAGAATGTTCAGCAACTCATTCGGTAAGCATCATCTGTGCTATACGCTCAATATGAAAAAATAAATTACATAATGTAATTAAAGACAGTATTTTGAAACACAAATACAAACCAGGTTAAATTAGGACCATGCAAACAACTGTAGTGCCTGCATTTCCTGATGCTCAAGTGACTGTGCTGATGGATGTTACAAGGCTGCTGCCTTGAGTGGAGCCCAGGACCTGGAGGTTCCTCCTCCTTGTCCTCTGGATCCCAGGCTGGTACATGTGGAGACCTGGACATCTCCATCCCACGCCGGTGGAGGCAACTGCAGCTTTCAAGTTTTAGCTTCAGCTGATAGTAAGGCTTGGCATACATCTCAGGGACACGCTCACACACACACACGACACTCACACGGCCAACTGCACAGGCTGCCACAGGCAGGGCACTGCCTTTAACAACACCCATGAGTAACCCTGCCAGGGCTCACCTCAAACATAAGTGCAGTCATCTCCTCTGATTGGAATTGAAGTTCACAAGTGAAAACACGCATGCCTTCACTTCCTAGATTCCCATTCAAGCATAACCCCATTCACAGTACAGGGCCCCCATCTCTCTCATACCCCTGCCTGGATCCTGGGCCCTCTTACCTGCCCTGCGGGTCTCCGACTCGCCAGCTAGCCCACCCTGGCACACACGTTCACATACTCATCTCACAAGCACTCACGTGCTCGTCTCACAGCTTTGTTTATTGTTTTTATGTCTCTTCTTTATTATTTCTGTTTCATCGCTTAGCCATTCCTCATAATATTAAAGTGATTTTTTAAATTATGCTGAATTTTAAATAGCTGCATACAGAGGAGCAGATTTGGGTATCTTTGCCAAACAGAAATGTTTTCTACTATGAGTACTCCAATCACAGATTGTGAGTAAAATTTCTCAGGTCAAAAATATACTTTGCTTGAATCAGGTAATAATGGGGAAAAGATTGCTTTCGGTCTCTCTTTTTTCCTTTAACCACTGTAATAGCCTTATATTGTGTGCAGAAATAAGCTGGTCCTAACAAAGCAAGCCTGGAACAGTTTCACAATGTAGCTAGTTAGAGTCAGTGGTATCTGATATCTTTGTAAATGACCTGCAATAGGAGCTGAATCTTACACTTATCAAACCTGCCACTATTACACTAACAGGGATTATAAACAGTAGAGGATAAAGTAAAATATGAGATGTTGGGGAGTTTAGAAAATTGGACCAAATTCAAGCAGATAAATTGTAGATTGTCATTGCAGATCGCATAAGAGTATATTTGTTTCTGAAACAAATGTGCCTGACAGCAGCATGCTGAACTACAACGTGCATAAGGACACTTAAGAGCAATACATGAAGGAACACAGCAGAAAGATCTAGCTTAAAAGCAGAAGAAATGGGCATTACTCATCGTACAACACTATCAGTTAGGCAATGTACTAAAAATGGCAGAGGGGAAGAATTGTTTGGTTCCTTGTTTAGCATCCTATTTGCAGTCAAAAAGATTTCATACACCAGAATTTGAATACCTGGCCACTTCCTGTGCTTCTCTAGAAGACATGATGCTGAATCTCCCTACAATTTTTATGGCTTATTTGAGCAGCAATATAACCGACACGGCTGGGATATGAAAACTGAAAAATTTAAATGGATATCCACCAGTGAACACAGTGTGGTTTTTACATTTCACTATACATAGCTCCTTCAACATAGCAATGAGACATTTATAGCTTTGGATTTTCGTGCTAAATTCATAAACAGGAAATAGATATGGTCTTGAATTTTTGCTTCTTCCGAATCATTCAGTCTAAGGAATGTGCAGTATCATGTAGCATTTCTGAGGCATGGAAGATTTTTTTTATTGGACTTTACATCAGCGAACTTCAGACTGACCTGTGCACACTATTATCAGCATATTTCTAACTTCTGAGAATATAGAACTTTAAAATTTTGTTTTTAAAACCTACGTGGACACCAACAGTTGGAAGAAGTTAAGAATCACCTAGAAAGTAGCCTCCATATGGCTTCAGGAGTGAACTTTCCAGTTTGCATAATTAAACATTACACAATAAGGAAAGAACAGCAGCACAGTGGGAGAGAAATTGGCCTCTGAGTAGGTGGTGGTCCCTTCCCTAGGCTCTGTGTACAAGGAAGACCACAGAGGCTGAAGTAGTTTGGGGCATCTGTAGTAGTGAATAGCTTGCATGCAAGGATATGAGCTCAAAGCTATAATCTCTATATTCAGGTACATGTTTTATTCTCCAGATTGACTGTAAAACCTTAATTCTTCTCTATTGCGGATACGTAATGTGGGAATCGGTCTCTGTTGTTACAGATTTTTACTGCTTCATAAGTGGTGCAGTATTTTATATAGTACTTTACAGTCATGTAGAGTTATAAATTCTTTAATGTGTTTTCTGTGACAGCTGGCTTTTCTCCCCTGCACCACTGCAGGGGGGTACTACTCAGTTGGCTGAATCTCTGAAAAGACTTTAAAAAAAAAAAAAAAAAAAAGACAATGAAGGAAAAAAGCGGTGAGTGGCAGCATGGAGGCAGAAAATTGTTAAGCTGTCTTTGACCGAAGAAAACATATTTCACCCAGTAATACCTGGTGTATCATAAAACCAGTCCACAGAAGTAGAGTGGAAAGTGATACATGTTATGCTTGCACAGTATGCTACACATTAAGTGTAATAACAAAGAGTGGTAGTGAAAAAAAAAAAAAAACAGCAAACTTAAAAATCAGAAAAAAATGCATTGTATTTAATATTTAGGCCAACCTCTGGTTATAGCTCTGTAGATTTTGTGATTAATTGCTTCAGCCCAAGATTGCACCTAAGGAGGGCTGCACTGCACATGTTTATGCAGCTAATTTTGCTGCACTGTTAAGTAGTTTATCCTCTGCATTGCATCTAAGTAAATTTTGTTGAATAGGATAACTGTAATGTCTGAGTATTTCACAATTTTTAATATGTTTTTCTTAGATGAAAAAATGTATATTTTTAAACCATTAGATACATGCTGAACTAAGCCATGGGGGAAAAGCACTACATGGATATTAAGGAAAAGCAGATATTTACAAATGCTCTATGTTTCCTACATCTAAGGATCTAGAAAAAACTGTTTATTATTTGATTATTTCAAAACAGTGTATATGCACCACAGTCACTCAAGGTCAAATATATAGCTTTAATAAGGCTATTCTTCAAGTTGAGTGCTTAACTTTGTAAAATTAATAGTCTGTAATCATTTTAATGAACTGTATCATTTGTAAAATGTATAAGCAAGCTCTAGTTCTCTTTTACATTATTACTGCAATGCTGCATTCTGGTTTAGGATACATAATGCAAACAAAAAAATGTGTTACCTAAGATTGAGTAGGACTACACAAAAATAGAGAAGGAATGAATCTGTGGTTCAATACCTTCTTTTCTGTTGCATCAAGACTAGGCTGCTATAGGTTACACCAACTAGAAGCTGCTTTTCTTCACTTCCAGATCTTTGCCAGTCTTCTCAGTCTCTCAGTCAGTGCACAGATGATTCTTCCATCCTCTCAGCCTCTGGTACTAGCTTCCATCACCCATTAGCTACATTTTCAGATTAACACATTTGTGCTTTTCCCCACAATGCCTTCCACAGCTTTCTACAGAGCAGTCTCTGTCATCTTCCTTTCCTTCTTTAAAACTACTTTGCCACGATGCTGCCCAAAAGCTTGGCAACAGCTAGGTCAGTGGTGTGCTAAGACAACTGCCTACTGTGCTGACTAATGTTGCCTTATTGTATCTGTGTACTCCCACATCAATCTGCATATTTTCTCATCTGTTTTCTCCTATCTTAAACTAGTAGCAATTTGATGCAGGGTTTCGCCTGCTGCACAGCACCCAGCCCAGAGAGTTTCTATTACATCTGAGGTGCCAGTGTGCTTGAGGAGTGTAATAGACTTAACTACAATCAAGAATATGCCAGAACATGTAAGCAAGGCTGCTGATAGTTTAAAATGGCATAATAATTTTACATTGCACACATGATCAGTCTAGTGAAAGAAGGATCTGATTCTCCCAAGTAGACACTTTGGAGACAGTGTTCATATGCAGCTTGCTAAGGAGAGCTTGGAGGCATGCAGGGTGGGATTTATTTCCTCTAATTTCAGATATGTACAGTGTAGATGTTTCCATCTGAGCTGCCTATCCTAAAGAACTTTATAATCACTGGGATGAAATAGATACTTGCACAGCCCAATATAACTGATTGCTTCTAGACTTCTGTTTTAGGATAAGAACAGTGGTTCAAATAGAAGTTATGTCTTTAGTTGACTGTTAGAGGAACATAAGCAGGTCAGATGGAAACATCTGTATTGGTGCCATCTAGATCTTGTCAAAGAAATTAATTTACGGCATCTGAGAAAGGGACAGGAATGTACGTGTTGCGTGACCAAACGTCACCTACTGCTGGTTGCTGGTCTGGCAGTGGCAAGCTACTTCAGCTTGGACAGGGCTGTGACCCCCCCTCCTTGCTGCTTTTATATCTTCTGTTCAGAAGCCATCGCCTGTGAGTGGTAGAAGGGGGAAGGAGAAGAGTAAGGAGCTGTTGTACAGCTGTGTGTGGAACTCACCCAACACAAGCTGAGGAGGTGCTTTTGCTCTTTCTTTTGTTCCCCTCATGCGATTGTGCACAAAGTGGCCTCCACCACTTCTGGATAGGCTCAGTAGAAGATTGGGGGGTGATTTATTCCTCCTCCCAGTAACAATAATGAAGTGAAAGTGAATATAAATGCACAGAGAAGGAGTAACCATTGCTAGGAATATCAAACCGATTACCCATTACCTGTGTTCTAGAGAGTAAATCAATAGCAAATACATTTTTTTCAGAATCACAGGAGTAATCACCAAACTCTGTAGACATAGCTGTTTGGTCTCTGTCTGGCATGTTGGAGCTTTAAATGAAGGTCATGTTCAAATCTGATTGGAATTCAGGGAAAGCATCTTAGCTTATTACCATTACCATAGTGCTGAATTCTGTTTACATTGGTAAACAGTTTAAAATACTTGACATGTTATTCAATTAAATCTGTGATTGCTAACTGACAGACCAAAGTGCGTTGATTTTTCCAGCCACATTAAGCTATATACATGGCACAGTGTTTCAGTAGCCTGTCTGCTTAACCCTTTCACATTAATTCAATTACCCAGTATAAAATTAATGTGTAAAATATTAAATAACTCTAAATTTCTAAATCAGAAGGCGTTGCAAGAATATATTCATTTCAGTGGTTTCTGACATATATTTATTACTGGATGATTTACAACCTGCTACGGATTACATTGTTATCTGGATGGCAAAAGTCACTCAGAAAGTTTTTTTCTCTGTGCTCAGTAAATTGATAGATTCATAGAGGATAAGACTAAAAAGGACATGAGATTATCTTCTCTGACCCCATCAAGATCCCTAGTCATAAATTTTCTTTTTACTTCAGGGTGGAGACCAGTAGCTTCAGTCTGACAAAAGCACAAATTGTGGTTTTTGCTAAAGCAAGTCTTCTGCAGAGACAGGCAAGCTTGATTTAAAGACATCAAGAAATTAAGATTTAGCCCCTTCTCTGGTCATTTATTTCAGTGCTCAATCACTCTCACAGTTAGAAACATGTGCCTTATTTTAATTTTGAATTTGTCTAGATTTAACTTTCAACCATTAGTTCTTGGTATGCTTTTCTTCACTAGATTAAGTAATCACTCACTAGCCACTATTTTCTGTCTGTGAAGAGTTTTGAACACTGCAATCAAGCTACAATGCAACCTCCTTTTTGCTACCTTAATCACATCTCTTGAAATTATTTTATTAAGGCATTTTCTACAGCCTAATTGTTTTTGTAGCTCTCTTGTACATTTTCTCCATTTTTTCCCCCACCATTTAGAGAACAGCTGTGCTGAAACTGCACATGTAACTTTATTTAAAATCTCAACAGTACCAACTTTTGTACTCATTACTCCATTGTTTGGGGGTCCACTTTTTGCCATAGGATTGTATAGCGAGTCCATGTTCATAGAATCATAGAATGGTTTGGGTTGGAAGGGACCTTAAAGATCATCTAGTTCCAACCCCCCTGCCATGAGCAGGGACACCTTCCACCAGCCCAGGTTGCTCAAAGCCCCGTCCAACCTGGCCTTGAACCCTTCCAGGGAGGGGGCAGCCACAGCTTCTATGGGCAACCTGTGCCAGTGCCTCACCACCCTCAAGTAGAGAACTTCTTCCTTACATCTAATATCTATCCTCTTTCAATTTAAAGCTATTAGCCCTTGTCCAATCACTACATGCCCCTATGAGAAGTCCCTCCCCGACTTTCCTGTAGGCCCCCTTAGGTACTAGAAGGCTGTTGAATTATTTGCCATAGTAGACAAGTACTCCTGAAATTTATTTCTTTCCAGGATTTAGTCCCTGGTTCCATATTTCTTTTTCTTAAATGTGTGACTTTCTGTTTGGCCACATTAATGTTAACTTTTTTTGACTATGTCTAGATTAGTAAATGATGGATTGTTTTGTGTGCCTGTACTGCTTTCATTAACATCATCTGCAAATTTTACCAGCAATTATTCTATGTTTACTTACAGTTCGTTAATAAAAATGCTGAACGACGTCAAGTACTAGTACTGATCTTAATGGGATCCAAAGAGAAATAACATCGTTCAGTCATGATTCCCTATTTATACCTTCTTTTTGAAAACAGAAAGCTGAGATAATCTAGTGGATTTCTAATGTATTTACCATGTACATTATTGTCCTGTATGGTTTTTTTGTTTTACTCAGAAGGTCATGTGGGACTAGATAACTTCACAGAAGTCTAAATAGCACAAGGTACAAAGGTTGTCTGCTACTATCAACAAGTATTTCTTCAGTTCTCTACAAGAACAAGCTTTATTTTTTTTAGATAAGGATAAAAGTCTAAACTAAAGACAATGTACAAAAAGCTATAGGTTTGTGTTTTAGAGTATGCTTAAGGGGAAGCAGAATAATTGAAAAGTGTTCAAAGTAAATATCCTCTAAAATTTGTCTTACGTGTTTTCAATTTGTTGCTCTGCAGGGAATGATTTGCATTAGTTAAAAATGATTGTTGTGAAAGATTCCTTATTTTTAAACATCAAAGGAAAATTCATATTTCTTTCCTTTCCTGTGAGATATGATCCATAACTTTAGATATGAAGGTGTCTAGTGTGTGCATTTTCTATTGTGTTGCATTTCTTCCAGCTGGTAACTGAAAAAAGATCCTTGCAATATGTTTATTAACTAGTGATGAAACAAATGGGTTTGAGATTTAGAAGTTTTCTTAGGAAGTTGCATTCGCAGTTTTATAGTGGGATATGCAGATTTTCAGTTTTTTACAGAGGCAGTTCTCTGAGCAGATTTCCAAGCCACAGCACAGGCATGTTAACTGTCAGCATTAACTATCTAAACCCTAAAGGTGTTGTTGGAGACCAGTGTAAGGATTATCAAAGATACTAATCAAACTTCAACTTAGTCTCCCAACTCCTGCTGCCCATGAAGTACCAAGTTGCAGTTGGTATCATGAATCAAAATGCAGGCAGCCTCAGCATTTTCTGTTGGAGACAGAAATGGCAGGGAGAAGTCCCAGTTACTCTGCTCAGAGCTGTCACAGTCCAGAGAGAAGCAGGAGTGGATTCTCAGGTGGATCCTTCTATGAGATGGGATTTCCCACTTCATTGCAGTTGCTCATCACCCCCATGGTTCCCTTTAGTCAAGGCTGTGTCACAGGCTGGCCCCAAAGCTACACAGTGGAAAAACAAAGGAGTAACAATAGCTGAGCAACACAATAACCAGCAAAGTCACAGTGGGGCCTGTTAGTACAGGAGCTAAACATGAAAGAGGAAAAAGAATTTTAAAACAACTTGCAACTGGAAGTACAGCTCCTGCACCGGCTGCAGGAGCCCACAGTTCAAAAGTGGAAGGCAATACTGAAGTGTTTTGTACCAGAATTTGAAAATGAAAAAGAGCCAAAAATAAGAGATATTCAGAGTGATACATTGGTTTGTTTTCTCAATGTGTATAAAGCTGGTGAGTGCAGTTCTGCTGTTTTATTTGAGGAAAATCTAATTGCCCCAGCCAGAATCCGACCTGTGGCTGTATAAACCCCTTGCATACAAATAGCATAGAGCTTCCAGCTCCCAGGTTCTGGCTCTGTGCTAACACAGACCGTGTCTTGCAGGATTCCAAAAGGTTCCTTAACTCTCCCCTACACTGGAAGCGTTAGGGATAAAAAGCAGCATTTCTGTCAAAATGCTCTGGCAGCACCCTTTCTTTCAGTCTGATTCCCATATGCATAAGCAAAAAACATCAAAGTTCAATATCAAACCAAAAACATTCCAGGTGTCCTTGTCAAGGTACCTGCAACACGAAGACTTAGCTGACTGTTGTGTTTCCAGAAGTCCCGTGCCCATCTACTTTTTCCATAATTTGCAAGGCCTTGTCCTGTTTCACAGAGTGAAATGCAGTCTCAAACTACCTTGCAGGCACCACAGGATGAGCCTCTGAGCGTGGGCAGGTCCTGGGAAGCAGCTGGCAGCAGTGACTTACCGAGGTGACGTGAACAGGAGAGAAGGAGAGATGGAGCTACACGAGTGTAGCTTTTCCCTTGTAAGGTGCGACGGTGATCAGCAGAGCCGTTCTGCTCTGTGCTCAGCAACATTCCCGTGGATAACCTGAGACTTGCACCTTCAAATGAGAGTGGTGAGAAACTTGGGAGGTAAAAGTCACAAAGATGAGACACCACTGAGCAAGTATCTCTAAGACGATAATTAGTCTTTTGAATAATAACTAGGGGTCCTCTCTATCCACCTTCATGCAGCTCTAGCTGTCCAAGGCTGATCCAAACCATAGCAATTACTGGTATCTGGAAATCATAGATGCTTTGTACAGCAGTCTCTTGCATGTTATTTTGTTTGAAGCCAACCAAAGAAGTCTGAAAATAACCCTATAATATTACAAAAAACATAAAACTGTTAGAAATCCAAACTAAGCCAGTCTTTGGCACCTTTTTTTTCTCCTGAGTTCCTGAATTGTTGTTGTTATTCTTTGTGAATATCCAGAATAAGCAAGTCATCTGAAAAACCTACTCAATAAAAGCATTCTACCCACAGTTGCTGTTCTTTCTCTTCTCTGGGTTCAGATCTGAGTCTGTGGACCTGAATATTATCTCAGTGCATGGAGTGATGTGCTCGCATTGCCATTATGCCCTGCAGGGATAGTCATTCCCTTTCCCAATCTGGCAGCCTGTGCTTGTGAGCAAGAGTCATTACAACTGAGCAGGCTGTTCTGTGGTGTGCCCTAAGGCGGCGGAAATGACTGCGGTCCAACTCTCAGCTCAAGAGTATTGTGCACCAGGATATTAACTGTAAAATTGGCAATATTGCTTTGGAGCAGAGGCTTCCTCCAGGCACCCACAAGACAGATGGCTTTATCAGTACACAGCCATTCACCTCTGCATTGCAATTGGGAAGAAATACAAACAAATTTCCAACTATCTTTGCTAAGCAATTTTACAGCTGTCTATCTGAAATTAAAGCACCCTCCCTTGGTTGTGCTTTGCATTTTTATAGTGACTGACAGTCTTTTTTCCACAATGCTATACTCGGTCTTCCACAGAGTTTTTAACGCTCACAAAAATACGTGACACAAAGTTAACGAAGATGAGTGCTTCAGACTGTAGGGAACCAAGCAAAGGAGGGTTCTGCATACTCTGTAGAATTGGACACTTGCTATAGATCAGTGTAAAAACCAAATAATTTCTGGCAGGGAAAGACTTTTGTATAGAAGTTCACAGGAATGAACTGATACGCAGCTCATGGAAAGTCTTTGTAGAGCCTATAAAAAGGGCGGCTTCCAGCCCGCAGCCCGTCAGTCCCGTTCCTCCTGAACTGAGCTGTGCACCGGTCTTTGAAGTGGTGTGAGCCAAGGACTGGAGCAGTGCGGTTCTCAGTAACTGAGTATCTGTCTTTGGCTCAAATGAGTGGGAATCCATGAACACATCTCTTAAATTGGAGCGAGTTTTCTCTCAGAGTCAAAAGCTGGTCAGAGCTGAACTGTAAGGCGTTTGCACCCCTTTGCTAATGCAGTACCAAATAAAGTTGACACAGACTTCCTATAAGTGAGGGGAAAGACTGAACCATGCTTAACTAGTAGTGCACCTTGCCATCGGGGAAAAGCAGCTGGGTGAGATTTCTATAAGCTGTGAAATGGGAGGACTTTACAGTCAGGTCTGAAAGTAACTGAGGTGGGACAGTCTGTCACAGCAGTTCCTAATTCACAGAGAAACCGTGCACTGAAAGCAGCCTCTGCCTCTGAATTGGAAAAGTCAGTGTCTGATAATCAGTAAAAACCTTGTGGATAAGACTATGATGCAGGAAGGAGGTAAAAACTCAAAGGAGGTTTTTTTCCCTTGTATATTTGGGCAGGGGGGCAGTGAATCCTTGTGCATTTAGAATCATAGAATGATTTGGGTTGGAAGGGACCTTAAAGAGCACCTAGTTCCAACTGGAAGGCCACTATAAGGTCTCCCTGGAGCCTTCCCTTCTCCAGGCTGAACAACCCCAGTTCTCTCAGCCTGGCCTCATAGGGGAGGTGCTTCAGCCTCTTCGTGGCCTCTTCTGGACTCACTTGAGCAGGTCCATGTCCTTCTTATGTTGGGGGCCCCAGAGCTGAACACAGTGCTCCGGGTGGGGTCACAGAAGAGTGGAGGAGAGGGGGAGGATCAACCTTTTGGTCACGCTTCTCTTGATGCAGCCTAGGAGAAGGCGTATGGGAAGATCAGAGGACGCCCTCCCTCTAACTCTTGAGTGAGGAAAGAAAATGCCAGCAGCTTGTATTTCAACCCCTTCATTTGTCTGCAGGTCTGAGAAGACTATGGAAGTGCTGATAAAAACATGGAAACTTTAAAGGCACAGGAAGACATATAGACGAGGTAAGGAAGCATGAAGAATAAAAGGACATCCAACTTGAAGAGTCCTGTTTGCTCATTCTTCATGAAGAAACTTTTCCTGCTTTTCTTTATACCCTTTTTGCCCTTTCCTGTAGCTTTTCCAAGTCTGCTTCATCCTTTCAGGGATGGGAAGACCAAAACTTCCCCTGTTATTAAAAATGCAAGTTCACCATGCATTGTTTGAAGTGTGCTTTGATTTATTCTCTAGTCCTTTACAAATAATTCAGTTGTTTTTTGACCCCTTACTGAGTACTGAGATGACATCTTCCTAGAACTGCTATTTCATTCCTGAATGGTCCTTATCAGTTGGAGTAATTTTTGCAATATTTTAAAAATTTGCAATACCCTACATGGAATTTCATCTGCCATTTTATCACAAGTTCTTCATGATTGTCGTGCTCTTCTACAGCTCTGCACAGTCAGCTTTCAATTTTAGTCCCTGTGATAACTGTAGTGGAATCAGCAGTCTCTGTTCCCTCATTATTCATCACCTTTTCCAGGTCATCTAGGACCTTGCTGAGCAGCACAGAACCTGGCACAAAGTCCCATGGGATTGCGTTGGCGATTTCCTTCCAGCAGAGAAACTCTGAATTCCTGCTTTTTCCTTTGTATCTTTTATTGCTTATTTATTCAAATGGAGATCTACTTAGCCCATGAGACTTCCTTTTTAAGAGCTTTTTTTTTTTCCCAATATATTTTAAAAATGCACTTTAGTACATCTTGTCTGCTTGTTTGTCGATTCCTCAAAAAAAAATGCCAATAGGCTTGGGAAGTATGTCTCCCCTTTACAGAAGCTTAACGGACCACTTCCCAGTATATTTTTCCAAGTGTCCTCTCATTCTGTTCCTTGCAATGATTCCCACTGATTCGCTGAACAAGGACATCAAGTTCGCTAGTCCGTAGTTCCTCAGATCAACCCTGGAGTCTTTTGTAAAAACTGGCCATTTCACCACCTTCCTGTCCCCTGACACTGAGACAATTCCCAGTGAGACGTTACACACCATGGCTTGCAGTTGTGTTATTTCATCCTTCAGTTGGTTTAGAGCTCTTAGGTGAATACCATCTGGTCCTAGTGAGCTGTTAGTGTTGTACCATGGGAAATACAATCTCTGAAGAGAGAACTCCATGCTAAGTCCAGTGCATTGTGCTTAAGCGCAAATGTTCACTACTCTGCCCTTTTGTTTTGTTTTCCACTCCTAGGTAATTTGAATTCTCTTTTAATCATTTCTGCTCAGCCTTGGAGTCAGACAGCCACAACCCTTAATCAGAATAAAGACTACCTAGTGGAAAAATAAACTTTATAGAAATATTGCTTTTTTGATTAATGTATTTTCCATGCTTTATTTCCAGAATAGATTGTTTTACTCTAAAGTTGATGAAAGAATCTTCCAGTGTTCAGCTAGAGAGTTCACAACATATGATATGTAAGTTTATGCAGGATTATGCCTAAAAATAGATTACCAATCATGTTAAATAGCCATGACTATGCTGGCATAATGCCATGCCAAAAATAATAGATGTCTCTTTAAAGGATTATAACATTTAAGTAGGAATACAGATAGTAAATGATGGGAACCGTGTGTAACTAGCAATGTGAAGGCAATTACAAGGAAAGAAAACAAGGGGACGTGTCAGAAAGTGTGCAAGAACAGGAATTCAACTATCAAGGTTCCCACAAAAGCTATGTAATTTAATTTAAAGCTTTGAAGCATTTTCTACCATACTTGGAAGGCTTCGGTAATTTATAACTTCTTATATTGCAGTTTAAAGTCTTACAAGAGAATTTACAGACCTTTTGTGTTTTGGGTGGACATTAGCCTGTTGCATTGGAAACGTGAAGTGTACAGCAGTATATCTTCAGGCCCTTATATCTGCAAGGATGGAATAAAGCATTTACAGTTTCAAAATTAGAAACCGCTTTTTGATGTTACAGATCTAGATATCCGTTACTGCTAAATGTGAGTAACTTTCCTAGCAGACTGCTAAGGAAGACTTCAGAACCTCTCAATGTTTAGACACCTTCGCTTATTCAGAATGGTAAATGTCATAGAATTCTGCATTTTGATAATAGCTCCAGATTCATTTCAGCTGTGATCACACGTAGAACAAGTTCCAGCCCTTCCAAAAAGAGGATTCTACAGGTTTGTTTAGAAGGTGGATCAGGTGCCCTCATAGGATTCATGACTCACAACTTCTAATGCCATATGGAATACAGTAACCCACACATTTTGACTGTCTGAAAATTTTGTCTGAAAAGAACAGAGAGGTACCAGTGAAATGATTGACTGAAATTGTGTACTTCTGTTGTAAATCAACACTTTAGAATTAGAACCAAAATCATGGTCATGCTTTGAATGTGTCTATATCATCTTCTTAGAATGCATCTTTTTCTGTTCCAGAGTTCTAGTACCCCCAACATCCCTACTGCGGCTATTTTTTCACACTGTGGCTGTGCTCTGAAGCAAATTAAATATGTCCTTAGCTACAGAAAAGCACAGGATACTGTATGTTAGGATCTTTCTCCAGTCATTTGCAGGCATCACAGAAGATCTGGTGACCTATCCTCAGCTGCCATACCCAAATACCTGGAATTACATGTCAGAAAACTACTTCTTAAGCTCTCTCATTTGTGTGATTAATGGTGAAGATCTGGCATGTGTGTAACAGAGTTGCAATGTGGGATGTAGAGGAGGAGGAGGAAGAACCCTGCTCAATAGTTAGTTGTGTATGCATCTGCTCATGTGCACAGTTTTACCGATGAGAAAATTTAATTTTCCAGCAGCAATACAGAACTGTGGGGAATGATCTGTCCAACGTTTTACAAGCAAGTGGCTCAAATTCAAAAGGCTGTGTGTATACATGCATTGGACAGGTTACAACCCTACACAGGTCAGTATAGCTATACACTGTGTATCAAGCTGCAGAAGGCATCTGGGATGCTGTGATGGACCCTCTCATGATCTGGGACCCTCTGCAGATGGAGTGAGGGATGCTCATGTGGACACGGAGTCTGACAGTCCAGCTTTTTGTCTCATCGGCCACAGAAGCAGTGAAGGACACAACGTGAATAGTTCTCAACACAGATTGTAATATAATTTCTCGTACCAACTCTCACAGTGAAAAAGACCCACTGAGGACTGGCCAGCCAGGAAAACATGTTC